GGAACCAAACCGCTCCTAAAAGTCCGATAGAAAGCCAAAACCGAAGAATATTTTCGACTGGCCAGTTCTAGACGATCTTGATATTAATTCCAAGAATAAATTATGTCTCTTCGATGTTATGTACTAAAGTAGATCCAAATGAACATCATCATTTATTATATTAAATAGTTATCAACTATTTTTCGATGTACCATTTTGTCCATGTCCAATTTCGAGGCCAACAAATGCTCTTGCGAAGAATATTATTATCATAGAAGAAAATTTATCGATTCCATAATTCAAAATGCAATAAAAACAAAGCAATAAACAACCATTCAAAAAAAAAACAATATCCTCCTCCGCGTACAAAATTCAATTAAACCCACTGTTGAATTTCGTAAAAACGTAAAAACACAATTAAAATAAATAACATGTAAATAGGATTCAAACGTTATAAAAAATACAACGTAATCGTATCTCGCCGGCCAAAAGTGATACGGTCCGCTTAACCAATCACCAATCTCGGGATTAGAAACTGGAAGCCATAAATCCACGAAAAGTTTCCAATAAATAACGATTGTTATCGATATGTGGAATTCGGCAACTGAACATCCAACATACACCGAGTGATTTATGATTCGAGCAGCCGCAAGAACAAAGAAACTTGGCAACAACCACCGTAATAAAGTGTGCACTTGGTCGATAGAGGTTCATTTGTTCCAAATGCAGATTACCAAACTTTTTCAATATGATTATTCAAAAGTACACAGTACTTGTAAACATTTTTCATGCACCAAGAAGAGAAGGATGCAACAAAATGAAGAGTATGTTAGTGAGCTGGTCGGATGCGGTATTTAGCAAGAGGCCAAGTAGTTAGAGAACAAGAGTATATGGTCCATGGTAGAAGGAAAAATAAAACAAAAATGTATGAGTATTAATTTAAAACTTAGATTGAAAATATAAAAGAGAATTTTTAGGGTGCATTTTCAGAACTATTTAGAACAATTTAGAATGCTTCAGGATGCTCTAGAACTGGGCACAGGACAATTTTTAGAATGCTTCGGGATGGTCTAGAACTGCTTAGAACAATTTGGAATGGTTTAGGATGCATTAGAACCGTTTAGAACAATTTAGAATCCTTCAGTATGGACTAGAACTGTTTAGAACGATTTAGAATGCTTCGGGATGCTCTAGAATTGTTTAGAACAATTTAGATTGCTTCAGGATGCACTAGAGAACTGGTCCAGGACAATTTATATCGCTTTAATTCACAAATTGCAATTGATGAGGTGATGGCTTCATCCAGGTGTTCTCCAAGTTCACACATAGAACCTGGAGAGTAAACGCTTGATAATTTTCCAGAACCAAAATGAACCAAGAGCCAAAATGAATAAATATAATGAACCTTTATCAAATAATATCCAACCAGAAGGAACCTGCAATGAAACTTCCTACCCTTCAACCAGTCATACAACATGAGCTAAATAAATTTAACCGTGAAAAAGCTAAAAATCAAAAAAACATAATTAAATTTGGAAATTAATGAAACGTGCAATCGAATTACACGAACCATTATTCAGAAAACGATACGTCTAATACACCAAAGTAAAGACTCAAATTCACATTACACCGTAACAAAATACACCGATATGTCGAGCGTCGGCAGGGCGACCAAGGTGAGCCGGTATTAGAGCCCATCAATTTCAACGTCTGCGTCTAGATATAGGTACTGATGGGTTTCTTGTAGGTACTCTCTGTGCTGGTACCGAAATAGCCAGGTCGTTAGATCGCCAAAAACTGTTCGAATCTCCGGCGCTTTATTGCTGGCCCGAGACTCCCGAGAGTAGTACCCATGGTTAATATTTAGCAATTAATTCTTATGAATACAGTGTTTTAATGAGTACTTGTTATACTCGTAGATTTGTAGGGTGGCATAGGAAGCTTTACTTGTGCCACTGATGGAGCTTTACTTTAAAAATTAGAGCTTAATATCAAGTTGGAAAAAATACCATGCGAAACAATCATCATCTTTACATACATAGTTGAAAAATTTTTAAAGGACTCTTTAAATGGAGATTTTTTATAAACTTTTATATGCGAAATGTTCATAAAGTCGGTCTACTCTCTGGCCAGCGCGGAAGATCGCCCGTTCATCGGCGAGTTTCACCGAAAATTTAGTGGAACCCGAACCTCACGAAATACATTACGAACTTGATTTATGGATATTGCCGATTGTTGCCGGCAAAGTACAATTTCAATTCGCATTATAATAATTATTAGACGAGTCTTGTGGGATACCATCGATGGTATTTCGGCCTTCTAAAATTTTAATGGTCGAAACAAGTTCTTAATTAGTTTATTATGCAGTATGTACTTTTATAGCGAAATAGTACGAGTGCTCGAGAAGAATGACTAATAAAGAGTGTACTGTAGCGGGATTTTTTGAAAATGGGCATATTCAAATTTTCGTTATTAATTAGAATCTAGCTTTATTACTGCATTGTTTATTTTCGGTGCACTAGAACGCTTATGTGGCATCAAGCAATTTAATTATGTATGATAATTAATAAAAATATATGCTAATTAATTTAAAAAATTCTGCTATTAAGAGCAATTATTTCAATTATTACAACCATTTAAAAATAGTACGAATGTCTGGCTTTAATAATTTCATTGTTTAATTGCACTTATTGTCTGTATTCACACAACTTGCCTCCGGACTATTTAAATTAATTTTTACGTTGGAATTTACACATTTTATCGCCAATAAATTCAGGTATTTATTTCTAAATATCAAATTACTATCAGTGAAAAAAATGTAATGTCGGCATTAAATTTATTTATTCATTTGTTTATTAGATTTCTATTAATGCGACTTCCTAATTATCCTTAATTCTCGTGATTAACTCTTACGAAATGATGGTATACATTTCGAGATTTCTTCGAGTTCCTTGTTACTTGTTACCAAATAATTGTAAAATTATAGTCGAAATCGAATGACCGGTTGGTATTAAAATGTGAGGTAATGCGAAAATTTACCTGGCTGGTATTTACATAAAGTGAATCACAAATATATCGATTTGTATTATTTATAGGTAAAAAAGTTTACTGTAAAATGCTTGCCAAATATTGTTAATACCAATTGCAGTTTCGACAACAAAAATCTCAATTTACAGTCACCTGGCACTAACATCATTAAAAACCGTGAAATTGTGCTTAGTAATAGGACCGTCTCCGCTAAAATTCGAAAGAAAGGTAGGCGTGAACGAGCCACGATTAAACAAAACATAAGCACAACTTGATTGATCTCGGATCTCCAAAATTGATCTCTCATTTTACTCTTTAAAAAATCGTTAAAAACCGGCAAGTCATATAGCGTGCTGTTGTGGCTGCAATGGTTTTTCAGTAGCAGGGGCTACTGCAATAGAGCATTTTCATGAAGAATTATGGTTTGGAATAACAATTTTTTAGTACTGTTTTAAATTTTTTAATGCAATTTCAGTTTAATTAATCTATTTAATAAACTCTACTAATCCCAAGTAAAGGGTCAATGGCTGGATTCACCTAACTTTCACGTTAATTTTAAACTAAAACAAACAAATAAAAAACTTATTATTTTATTAAATATTGTACTCAGTTTTTTTTCTGAATTAATTAAACTATTGTTATTGTTTTTGTACAATAATAAAATGAGTAGGTAGGTAATAGTAGAGTTTAGAGTTCAACAGTCTCAGTTTTTTATCCAAGTCAAGAAACTCTAAAAAGTTTGAAGTAACTTTAACTGTAGCTTATAAGAAAAAAATACATCAATAAGTACAATACATGCATAGAAATATAACCTCGCACTATTCAGGGCAACAGAATTTTTAGCTAGAAATTTTAGATTAAACGAGTTGTAAAATATAGGTATTATAGTAATAAAAGGCCAAGAAGAACACCAAGAAGAAAAAAGGCACAACATCAACCACCTAATGCGGCCTCGCAGAAGACAAAACAAGTGGTGGGTAGCTGCTACAGATATAAATTGTGGCAGTTAATTCTTAAACATTACCATCGATACGAAATTAAAAATTTAATAGTTATGTATGTATGTATTAGGAAATGTTACAAACTCATTATTACTAGTTTTTAATCGAGGATAATGTTTTTTGGGACTTTTACACTAGGGCTTTGATTTTTAATCAGTAAAAAAATAATCGAAATTATTAAATTATTGAAAAAATTGAAAATGTTCCAATATTGCTGAGCTCTCAATTTACTATGACTGAGCTTGCACAATTTAAAAAAGGTGTAACATGGAAAAAGTTTTTATGTTATTTCTTTAATTTTTTAAGACATCAAGTCAGTTTAAATACTTTTTTACGACTTTATTAACTGTTTTTTGAGGTTTTTCGATAAAATTTTATGGTTTTAGAAAAAACCGAACATGAAAGGATTTTAAGAGTCTTGCAGAAAATTTATTGTTGGATATGTTTTTGTGCTTTTTTGCATAAACTTTAAGTAATTTTTTTGATCAGTGAAGACAAAATAAGAAAAAAATCATAAAATAATGATCTATCTAAAAATAATGAAAATTTGTCAAAAATCATGAAATAATAACGAAATTATTTTATGAAGGCGTGTAAATATAATTTAAATTCAAAGAAACTACTTCGTTCAAAATATCTAATATCATCAAAATCATGAAATTATGTCAAAACTATCTAGACTAAAAAAGAAACACTCAAAAATATGAAAATCCTCAAAAATTCAAAACTTTGAAAAATCTCCAAAATACCTTTAAACCCTCTTCAACAGCACAAAATTTTCCTTACAACCATTCATCATAAAAAACCACAAAAATCAACCTCAAATTGAGCAAGCCCTCTACCCTTTCTAGCTCCTAGTACAAAAGCCCTTCTCTACTTTGATGATTCTATTTATTACCGTCGTCATAATGATTATCATTATTATTATTTTTTTAAAGCACACAGTTACACACACCTTGATTGGACAACGCTGCGGTCGCATGGCCTGCTTACCTTTGACGATATGAGCGTCAAAGTTGGCGAAGATTCCTGAAACAAAAGACGGCGCCCGTTAGTTAGCGAAAACAAGAGAACAGTCGCAAATAACGCGGGTACGGGGGAGAATTTACCGAGGAGCTGATACGGGGGGGTAACCGAGGAACGGCAAAGGAAAGGTACAGCGGCTGTAATTGAATACGGCGGGGCGGAAAATCGGGGACAGGTGGGAAAATTTGGGGGAGCCGGAGGGTGAGGGATGTTTGCGGGAGCGGCGGTTTTGTTAATGGTGATTCGGTTTCTATCCTAAAGGTTTGTTAGAATTAAAACGGCAAAGAGAAAAGAGGATTAAGGGATATTAAAATTGTCGCGCAGAAACAAATCGGTGACTGTGAAGCGGTCAGAATCGCGTAAATTTTTATTTGATTGAGAGGGGTCCAATGTGTCCTTTTTAATGATGAATACGGGACTTAAAAAAATGTTTTTTCACGCAAAAAGTGTATAGAGAGTGTCCCTAAAAAGGACTTAAAACTTTTTAATTTTACCACTCATATTTTTTCAACAATTTTGCACCACTCTATATTATTTTGAAAACCCTTTCAAATTTTAATTTGTACCTACCTACAACATTTCTAAATAATTTCAACAGTGTAATCACTAAAATCAAAAATCTCTTCCAAATTGTAGCAGCAGGTAAAATAAATAAAAAATTATAATTTTCAGATAAACAGCGATAATTTACAAACCCGCCTATTTCTTGCGATAATTTAGATTTATCCATCAAGCACTTTGCGTTGCTCCACTGAGAAGAAATGTTTTAATGTTAATATCCCCGCATTGTTCGTTCCACCGGCTCCGCGGCCACATGGGAATGTGAATTGAAACAATTAAAATATTAAATTTTAGAAAAATTATAATTATAACTCCTCTTATTACCCATTACCTACAATTTACGGGTAATAAATTTTTGAATCCTAAAAAGTTTCCGTCTTAATTATCGAATTTAAGCAGTGTATAATTAGACGTATGGCAAACAGAAAAATTATCTTAAATTAACAATTACACCTGAGTTATGTTCTATTATTTTATTGTATTTATTGCAATTAGGTAGAGCAAGAGAAAAAGAAATTTAATCCGGTAAAATTCAGATTAAAAAAAACAATTCTGCTCGAGTCGAGAGAGGTTTTGAAAGTTATTTTTTGCATAAATAAACAAAGGGTTAGAATTGACCTTGAAGCATTTACCTACAAATAATTAGGTAGGTTATATTGTGAAAATCCGAACCTTTGATCACTAAATCAATTACATATTTCACGTAGAACGGTTAATGGATAAAAAAGGCGACTCCTACGCAATTTCCGCTCGACTGGCTCTTATTTAGCTTATACATTGTCCTATTAATGCTTTTTTCTGAAAGGCTCGCTTTAATACATCCGAGCGACTTCCTTCGCATCCAAACGAACCAAACGCCGGGACGGAATATAGGAATATACGGCATCCATTTTTACACAAGGAAGTGTAACGCGCCATGGAAGCTCCATGCGAGTTACAAGGATTTGCTAAGCGATTGTGTGTGCCCACTGGCACATGAACATCTGAACATCGATAAAAGGATAAGTGGAAAACGCCATTCGAGCATGCCATATTCACATTTGACACGTATAAGTGAGCCTGAAATAGTCTGTATGAGGAATTACGTACTAATTTCTATAAAGTCTAAGAAGATTATATCGACTGATGATAGTGAACACTGTGCTCATACAGTTTGGGCAGCCAACGTAGAGATTTACTACGTGTATGCGATATGCTCAAAACGTGGAAGTAGATCCGTTTTGAGCCAACTAAACGTATAAATATTTAGTAAAGGATAAATTTAGAGAATTAGATTTACTTAAATCGTTCGGGCGTTAACTTTGCTCACACATTACGGTTTATCTATGCGGGTTTTATTTGAAAATCAAATTTAATCGATTTGAAAATAGAGGAAGATTTCATCTATCTATTTTAATTCGCTTTATCTATGTTTAATCCATATATGTATACTGATTGGATACACAGTTCCTTTTTTACATTCATTGTGCTGTGAATGTAAAAGGACTTTTGCTTGATTAAAGTTTTTGAATAGTTCAACTTCTTTGAAACAATAGGACGACTAGTACGATGACTTCATTAAATCCCTCTAAAACCACAAGATAGAAGTGTAAAGAAACAGTATTTACTTTTAATTTTCAATTTTCTTCCACTTCTTCTTTCTAGTTTAGTAGCCTCAACTACTTAAGGGCTATTGGTGACCAAAAAATCAAGAAATAAGAATTTCTTGCTTAGGTATTTTTTACATGTTAGAAATGACACAATTTGAGCACTAAATATTTCAGAGTTTTCTCAGAAAGTTCACTATGTAATGTTTTACATAGTAAATACTAAATTTTTTACTCGCACTGTTAAATATATTTGAGATGATATAAAGGAATTTGAACGTGAACCAGGTGCCCCTAATTTTCAATTTGTTCTTGTCATTTTACCATTTGACAATTTTAGAAAATTCTTAGATTTTGTAAACTCAATAAAAGTTCGGCAACACTGCCTACTTGTGACGTAGTAAATCATAGGTGAGGTGCATAGATATTTGTTTTGCATCAACTGTACATCTATCTAATTGTTTAATGAAAGAGTTTTGTATCATTTCTAGAAACTTTTTCAACTACGCCTATGTTTAACCGTGTACGAATATAAGGTAATTCTTCGTATTGGCGTGCTAGCAATCGAGTTTTGTAACCGAAAATGCTCATGTAGGTGGTACCGGTAAATGATCTTCGTGTTTTTGGAAGTACCAGAGTATATTGTTTTATTATACGTACGCATTGGTTAGCCGTGGGCGTTTCATGAATATATTATTCCTCGGATAGTACGGTAGAATGTACCACGCGGCGTTTCGACGACCGTACATTAAAAAAATCCATTTGAAAATCAAGAAGATTCATAAAAATTAACAACCAGTATTGTTTATTACGAAACATGTTTGAATTGTACGATCCTTAATCAGTAGCGTCTTGGGATATAAATTGGGAAAATAAATTGTATTTATTGTCGTAATATTAATAACCGAGTAATAATTTTAAGTTATGAAATATAATTACACAACTTACGTTATGATTGTAAAATATGATGCTTATATGTAAATCCTTGAATTATTATATTTCGGTAAATATTAGTAATAATAAAATATTAGAAAAAAAATCTTCCATTCACGAATTTACGAATTCGTGCACCTAATTAATCAAACCGTGGAATGAATCAAAGTTGTCTTTTACTAATACTTCTGGTGTTAATAAACTTGTCAGTAGGAAAACGATCCGACTCCGCATCTATAGGAATCTGTTATGATAAATTAATTGAAATGTATTAGGATGTGTCCGCGTAGATTGAGCGGTGCAGGAAGTAGTTTTTTTTATATAAAAATAATAGGACTCTGACATACCATCTTGACAAGCGGATCGAAGTGTTTGTTTTCGATATGACATACAAAATTGGATACGTCCTTTAGATAGATATAAGTATGTTTTTCGTTAAGGTAGATATAATTGGGTGCCTAAAATGATTGAGCATACCACGGTATTAAGCAATGAATGTCTATGCTGTAATAGGTGTCATTACAAACGAGTTTTATCGTTGACGTTCTCACAGGGTGCAATATATTGCAAGCGATAAAAATAAATGCAATGTACAAGTGTGCAATAAGTAAGATAATGAGAATTTTTTTAATTACTCTCATATAAGTCCATCAACTTTAGATTTTCTGGTAAATATTTTAACTGATTTTCTTAGAATCCACCACCTAATCTTTCGTACGGCAACACTGTTAAGATGATACTGACCAAATTAGAGCAATAATTGTATCTAATAATAATCAAATAATAATATCGTTGCATATTTTATAGTACGCTATCTGGCAAAACATATTGCACGACTTTGCAATATTAAACATCATTGCAATAAAAATTATTGCATCGCATACAAGTAAAAACTGCGCATTTTGTATATACGCTTGTATTTTAAGATGCAATATTGGAACAATAAATTGTTGTATATTGCACCGTGTGACAACGCTCTTAATTCTAAATTCATTACTGAAATTAAAAAAAAAATTATTTGCAAGTGTAGATCAAACTTATTGAAAGTAAGTTTAAAATACATATAAAAATGTGCTATATAAAAAAACTTTTTAATTTTTTTATAAAACATGCCAAATGTTAACGCGAAACCTATTAGAGATAGGTAATTAACGGTTACCAAAAATAAATAAATGCGTGAAACAAGACCACTTAGAAAGTGGCACAATTTCCTTCTATAAATCACTATTAACAAATTACTTTCATTTTTGTTAATTATTGCTTCCCATTATTACAGATTATTCGAACGGTGAGAATGTCGTTCCGGAATTGTAAAACGAGAGTGACACTTACCGGAGTAATGCATTAAAAAAAAGGATTATATCGGAGCAGTCGACAATTTTCCCATCGTTTAAAATTTATAGAACCTTTATAATGTATTTCGTTGCGTTTCGATATAAGAACGGGCGATTTTTTAATATTAAAATATTCTCAACAACGGTACAATCGTTATCGGTATCGAGCACTTAAAGTTATTCATAACCATGCACCAATAAAACTGAAAATATTGTGACTTACTAAAACACCAACTAACAATTAATCTTTGTAAAACGTACAATGCATAAGAAATATATCCAAGTTATGCTAATTATCTTAGCGCAGTTAATCAACCTTTCAACGATTTTTTGCATAAAGTAAATTAATTTATTTGCACAACTAATATGATGGTTTTATTGTTTTTCATAAAAAAACTGGAGTGATTTATTTAAACCTAGAACTTATAATGATGTTTGCTTTTTATACATGTTGTTGCACAAACTGTCATCAACAAAAATTAATTAATTTCAGCCAAACATACACCGAGAACGAATTATAAATTCAATTCAATTTTAAAAGTATCGAATAAATAGCAAAGTTCTTATCAATAAAACATCTTTCTTATAC